GTGTGTGTGTGTCTGTGTGTGTGTCTGTCAGTGTGTGTGTGTCTGTGTGTGTGTCTGTCTGTGTGTGTCTGTCAGTGTGTGTGTCTGTGTGTGTGTGTGTGTATGTGGCTGTGTGTGTTTGCCCAAGGGAACAGGTACACTTTCCCTTCACACCACAGCCTGTCCCGTCCATTTGGCTAAGCTGCTGGTGTTGGTGTAGCTGTTGGTGTGTCGGGTGGGTGTGGGACACGTGGCCCAGCCCTTGTTCCCCTCCCTTCATTAACCCCGCCTCCCCAGAATGGCCAGCCTTTGAAGCACATTTGTTTAATTGTCTATAGTAGTTTGGAGAGCCAGACGTCCAAAAGTGAAATGGGGACGTGTGTTACAGAGATTGTGGTCTTTGTGCAGAGGGGGAACCAGCAAGCTGTCACAGCTGACTAACTTCCAGTCTGAGTAAGTATAGTTTGTCTGTGTGCTATTTAACATATATATTTAAATTCAAATTCTATGATGGCATTTTATTTTATTGGTGTATTGTATGAGAGCGCTAAATTTCAAATTAGTTCATGTTCAGTTCAGGATCCGTTTAAAGTGATGTGAATGATAATAATTGTTCTACCAATTCCACTAATTGTTATTCTACTGTTGAAATCAGCATATAAACATATCATCTGTGAATTTATAGAAATGACACATCCCATGAAAATGCAACTTTCCATGTACAAATAAAATCAGGGTTATCTGAAAAGGCACATAACTACTAACCAGTGAGGTAAAGAGGCGTACTGGAATATTCATCTTAAATTCATTTACATTTTCTCTTCTTAACAGGTGTTTGATGGAAAATTTTGTGATGGTTGATAGCATTTTTATTCATCATATTATTTAGTATTCCCAAAATAAAAGCAACTAAGCATATTGCTGTGGGTAAACTGAATCTTTATATATTTTATTTATTGACACGATGCATTATATTTCTGCTATGGATTAAACCAACTGAAGTCATGAGCTACGGTAGAGGCCTTTGATATATGACCTCGGAAGTATCCAGAAAGACAATCCCCATTGCCCACAGGGTCATAACACATCAAAGGGGGAAGGAGATTTGTTGTCTCTGACATGTGTTGTCCCTGTCCTTTGCACCCACCAGGCTGCACTGTATTTCTTAGGGGAACAGAACGGAAGCTGCCAAAATAGGCTGATATCGTCCTGGTTTCCCCCCACGGCACCAAATGTCCGGAGAAATACTCCGTACCTCAGTGCAGGGCAACTAGAAAAAAAGACATGACCAGTAGAGACCTACATAGATCAGTCAGGCCTAATATACATCACATATAGCACAGAAAAAGACAGATAATGTCCTCTGGCAAATGGAGAGCGTTTTATATAATGGGTGCACTCCTGTAAGGTCTTGGTTGATGACTTGCAGATTCAGTTGAGTCCCAGTCCTCAGTAACAGCTCCAGATCTTACACACAACTTTGATTTGATTGCACACTTGCGTTCTTCAGTGTAGTTTTTTTGTGAAAGTCTTTATGTGCCGGAATATGGTGGTGTGACTCCTCGCGCAAGAGATATAGTTCATTAATTTTACTGCTGCATGACAAAAGCTTTGGAAGAACAGAGCAATAGGCTTGTTTTGTTCATGGTCACTTCTGTTTTGTTCGTTTTAGAGCTGCGGGTGTAGTGTTAAGCTATCAGTGTCGTTTGTCTCTGTTTCCTCTGAAGGGCCTCTCAGCAGGTCATTCGTCTGTAACCCGATTCTTTCACCTTTCACCTCTTTCGGGCAACCAACACGCACGTGGGTGAGCAGTCAGAGCAGGAGAGAGCAGCTTGCATTTGACATCGCGGGTGTGTTTTATGGAACAAAGGAACTACAGGTAGCATGGTAATTGCACACTACAGCCTGCCAGTTTTTGGGGCAACTCAAATTAAGTTTATTGCTGGGGCAATAATTATAAAACAGCTTTAAAATTTCGAGGAACTTGAAGGTGTATTATGGATCTGCTGTCATAAAATGGATCATAAAATTCATGAATGATGCATTACGTCTGTTATGGACTTGTGGTGTATTTATCTGGCCAGATTCTTTGAGTAAATTTATCCCATAATAATTGAAAATGTGTGTTGAGACTGCATGTCCCACCTGGTTGCATGAATGTATCTGAGTACTTCGGTTCCCTCCCATAATGGAAAGAAATGGAGTGAGACAAATGTAAGACTTGCCCAAACAGTGTATCTGTGTATGTGTTTGTCCTGCAATGTACGGGCATCCCCACTAGGGGTATCCTGAGCCGTGGGGCCCTGTGGATCCCGGGATAGACACAGGGCCTCTGTGTTCATGTGTTGGGTATGCAGACAAGGTAGACAATAGATGGATGGATCTAAGCAGGGGTGTTGGAAATAAGGGGACGTTTCTCCCCACCAATATTAGCAGACCCTCCCCTTTCCAAAAAATAAATAAATAAATAAATAATATGATCTTCCTTATCTTTCATTACAAATCTGTGTGTTACTGAGGCCAGTTCACAGTGCATGCAGAGCGCGAAGACGGGACATATACCCAACGAAGATTGTAGTTCTGTATCATCAATGTATCATATTGATTAGTTATTTTTTTATGTTGATTATGAAACTGTACCATAAACACTGTTAGTCTTACCTAAAACGATGAAATTTTTATTATTTTAAAATAATTAAAAATCTTACATCTTAAATCTTTTCTTACAATCTTTCTTACAACCTTTCACGATGTGCCCATTGCAATTTCATGATAATACACCCCCCCCCCCAAATATCGAAGTCCTTCTGGCGCCTCTGGATCTGAGAATGTTTTGGCGCTTTCCCAGTAAAATAAGGAATCCCAAAATAAAGACCCCTCCACTCTCTTTCTCCAGGTCAAGGCGCACCCGTGTGAAGTGTTGCTGTGACTGGGCGGTTGGAAGGACGCGTAGGCATGGAGAACGAGCAGAGAGCTGCAGCCTCCGTGGCCAGCAGCGCTGGGACAGGCAACCTGAGCAGCACCACGGCAAGCGTGTCCAGCACCGGCAACGGGAGGCCAGCGGTGCCACAGATATCCGTCTACAGCGGCATCCCTGACCGCCAGACTGTCCAGGTACACAAGCCCCAGATGATGCTACACTGTTACACTCAGGCTCACATTATCAGAATCACAATCACTATCTTTACTGCCACCACCAAGGCTGTGGCACAGCTTGGACCAGCCATGACAATCAATTAACAATTAGGACATGAAGAGAACAAATGCAAGATACACAACAGACAGGCATAAACACAAGATAGGTGATAAATGCAGTGATTTGTGAAATAGTGCAATGTGGATACTTGACATAGGTACAATACAGACAGCATACATCCATACCTATAGTGCATAATGCACATCACATGGAATGTGCAATTATAATGTGAAAAAATAGATTGTCAGGCGTCTGTACTGATGAGAACGTAAATATTGGAACAGTGCAAATGTTGCATTGAGACTGTGCAGAGGATTATGGGAGCTGGACCTGGCCCCAAATTTACCTTCTCGTTGTGACTCGGAGACAGCAGGTGACAGGGCTGTCAGAGTCACACCACACCTTTCCCCTTATGGGAGTTTACTGTGCAGTGTGAGACTTTACTGAGCTCTTTGCTGGCTTGAAGGTTGATAAATGGTTGACTTGCAGTCATGAAAATGCTAGGCTTGGTTGATTCTTGTTTCTTGAAGTGCTCTTGTGTTGTTGAGATCTGAATGTTATTTGAAGGCTCTGCTGTCTGGACCAGCCTGAAAAGAATTCCTAATGTAGAGCTGTTCTCTGGAACAAAGGAGTGGGCTTTGTTTTTCTGTCATTGACAGTACCTTGAACTTTTGTCAAGTCCTGATTCTTTGTTGATTTTTCATATCTATCTTATGAATGACGTGTGATATGTTGTGAAGGCTTGGGACCTTCTCCACAACATGAAGTGTTGGGACCACAGTCTGGAGGTGCCATTCAGCAATCAATTAAACACTAATCTGTAGCGTAATTGATCTCATGCCACCTTCATTGCCAAGTCAATTATAAGTGAACCGACTTGATTTCCAACCTGATTTGGTCTGAATCTACCTAGAAGGAAAATGTAAGATCACTAAAGACTCTTCATTGCTGCTTTTGCCAGTGTCCTTTGTATGGTCATTGTCAACTTTATAGTTCTTTAATATCGATATAAACCTTTACTTTTTGTACCTAGAAATTAAATTGCTTGTATAACTAAAATGTTATGACTCAAATTCCAATGTTTCTGAATTTATAGAATAAACCTATGTAAAATATTATAACGATCATTGGACCAAATTATACCACGCTTTTGAAGAAAAGTATTACATTTAAAAATTATTTAATGTAATATAATATGTACATCATATGCGAATCCTTCACAACTTTTATAAACCTATCTGTTGAGAGTTCTGCGCTTTTTTAATATTCAAAGACCGTTTCAGAATCTCAGCGACCACGTCACTCTGCTGCCATCCTTTGGTCAACTAGAGAAACGCACGGATCCAGCAGGATCCCACTGCGCCACTATGTTCAGTCACATGAAGATCATTCCAGAAGAAATATTTTAAGTTAAAATATTTCATAAGCTGTGATAATTAATGTTTTTAAATGACAGAAAATTTCACAAAAATGTATCCGGATAATAATAATATCAAGTAACCTGCCAAGCATTTCAATGAAAACACCTCAGTCACCTTCAGTTTGGTCTTCATTACTCTGGTTTAAAAAAAATTCAGGACCACTAAAAAGAATAAGGTAAAGTTACTTCATGGTAAAAGTTTAGCACTTAATTTGGCTAGCACTTAAACAGTTTTACTTTTAAACTAGACTGAAATAAAAGTGGTTAATTTCGTTGCACAAACAATAGCATTGCTCTTTTGTACGCAAGGTCTGACCCCTTTCTCGATCCCTGCTCTACAAATCTGGGAACATTAGCCTATCGTCACAATGGTTTCCCACCTTGAAGAATAAAACCTACCTCCACTTGCCGGCTGATGCCTTAGTGGCAGGTCCGTAGACAGAAATAAAATTCTGGGGGGTCCGGAAAGCTTCCCGATAGGTTCTTGGTAGCCGAATCAAACACACAAAAGCAACATCAGAAATACAAAGAAGGACAGATTTGCAGGGTGGTACAGGTACCTGCTAAAACGCACCGTATAAAGGTGCGAATGTAGTGTATGCTGTTGCACAGTCGTTTTATGTACAGTTTGCATTTATTTAATGTACTGCACTGCTGAGAGTAAACTTATGACCCAAGACGTTCACTCGCTAGTTCTCTCGATCTAGTGATGCCACAATACAAGTGACATGATCCACGTCATTAAAATATCCAGATGTATAAACAGGCAACACTGCATGTTGTTCTGGAAGGATAATAGTGGAAGTGCTGACGCATGATCCTAACCCTAATACTTCACACCCCAGGCTGCAGCGCCCACCTGCTCCCTCGTGCCGCTTCTTTCAGACTTGCCCCATTGTTCTTGGTTGCTTTTTGTTATTATTTTACTTTTTTCCTGAGACTTACTCGTCTTGTCCAATGCAGTGACTAGCGCCAAATTAAATATGCCCTCCAAAACATCCCAGGAATTTCACACACACAATAAGTTCACCCCCAAGCCACCTAATGATGAATTACAATGCGGACACAGGTGCGGGGCTCTGGCAGCTCACTCCACGACGGGACGTGTTTGTCGTTCTCCACAGCCGTGAGAATATGTTGTGAGGTAACGCAGATTCAGTTTTATCAGGGTCGGGTTATGTCACGTTTCAACCTCCTGCTTTGACAGGTCTGAAGGCTGAAATGCTGAGAACCGGCTAGCACGGATCTCACGGCGCTGTCAATACGGAGGCGCAGACAAAGACGCTCTTGAATGTGGGCGTCAATCACGTCAAAATACAGCCTCCCCCCCTCACGGTGGATGGTAAGCAGGAATCTTGGGAATGGGCACAGCCGGGTCCCGGGGTCGCAGGTTAGCCCTTTACCCGGCATAAGAATGGCGAAAGCACATGCAGCGCTTCAGTGAAAAGATAATTAGAACAAGTGGGCGGGGCAACGGAGCTTCAGCACGGCCATTGGTTAAGAGGAAGAGAGGGGCGTGTATTTCACATTATGACTTAGAGGCGTACTGGCAGAATCACGGGGATACCGCGCCATGCGAGGATAAACTTTGATGGATCTGCGTCGTAATACAGGAAAAAGGTTCCACTGTAGTTAGATTACTATCAGAGTAAAAAGCCAGGCGCTGTGTTGCTTCAGAAGGACACACGCTAGATTATTTTATCATTATTTCCATCTCCATCTTTTGAAGCACTCGTCGTTACTGGTGAAGTTATCAGACTTGGTATGTGAACAGTTTACTTTGCTTAATGTATTGTAATGTTTATGTGTTTGTGTAATTGTTTTGGAGGAATGAACCACTGTCTAGTGAGAGTTGAAAGCCTCTTAGTAATCAGATCAGATCAAAATCTTTATTGCCGCAAATCCAATGTCGGCAAATTTGTGCTATAACACACGATTATGAATGATTATGAATACAACTCACTAAATCCGTATTATCTTATCTAGCGTGGTAGATTCAGGATTTACATGAACTTTCAGTCTGCTGAAAGCTCAAATCAGGAAATGTGCTCTTGTGGGTCCTAAATATTTAATCTTTGTTTTCAGTTACGTATTATTACTGTTTAATGCAAATGAATTCCACTGTAAGACTAGATGAATAAGTATTTGTAATGTATTCTTCCCACTTTTAAATGTTAATCCAGTACAGGGTTAAGGGGATTTACAGAAGTAGGCCTACTAAAATTGGAATTATAATTATAGTGCATAATGTTTCCCAGATAGCACCATGTTATTGTTTCAACGTTGAATTATTGTTAAATGCGTTGAATTATGGTAAGTGTTACATTATCATCGTTGAAACTGAATAGATTTTTGGTCAGATGTTCAATATTGAAAAACTGATGGTTGCAAAACCTTGATTCAATGTTGATATAAAGTGAAAGATTGAAGATCAACGTCGTTTCAACCTTTTTGTCTGATATGGAATCAGTCATTGCAACATATGTGTGCTATCTGGGATATCACTTATATTAGATACATTATAACCACATAATATTTAATCTGTTCATTTTTTTGTTACACAAACTTAAAATACAAGCACTATTTTCTTGGCTGCAAAAAAGGAAACCATGAATGCATATTTGTTGGTAAAAAAATATTTTAAAAACCTTGCTAGATAGTTGATTTTTGGAAAACTGATGGTGCTAGTGTTGTACTTAAATAGCTGAAAATGATATATGTAGTCTTGTCCTGACCTGGTAAATGGCACGATAGATTTGTCAGATGTGCTACACAGATGAAATGTATTTCTTTGTAATTTAAGTCTTCATTAAATGAGCACATCATTCTAGGTACACGGCAGTGTATGGCGGTGTACGCCGGCAGACGGTTAGTATACACTCATCATGCAGTGTTTTAGAAAACAGAGTCTGGCAGATTTGTCAACAAATATTTCTGAAGAAAAACATCACACATGCGAAAAAAATAAAATAAAAATCAATCAATCAAACAAATATATAAATAAGAGTCCCCAAATGGCTACATGGACACCTGTCTGAGGCGTATGAAGCTAGTACAGTTTGGATGATCGTCTTCCGGATCTATAAGTGAACGTAAGCCATCGGTAATTTGGAAGGAAGGCGCCCGTATGCGTAGCCCACTCAGGCCATTTCTCACCGGCGGATGGGATGAAACAGCAGCCCCACAGAAGGCTTAAAGTCAGAGAGAGTCCTGTTGTTTCGAGGTGAGGGTTCGTGTTTCCAAAGCCATCTCTTTTGTTGTCCCATGAATATCGGGGCACATGTGAAGAACTACTCCGGGGTCTGGGCTTGCGTGGAGTGGGGGAGCAGGGCATTGTGGCTTTGGGGGGTGCCTTCTGACCTGGGATCTGTCGAGGATTCATTGTCCTGTCCTGGGGACTTGCTGATGCTGATGCCACTTAATGACAGATCCCGTCCAGCAATGTACATTTTGACACTTCTGTTGATGACGGGATGATTGATTATGGAGCAAGAACAGAAAAGGATTGAATGACAGAGATTGTTATATTTGCCTTATGTTGGAAAGGAGAGGCTAAAGTTCCCTTTTTGCTGAGCCTGGTTATTGTGTGAGTAACTATGTTTGTATATTGGTCTGTGGTCCAGGAGGCTGATGTAACTTTGTTTTGATTTAGGTCCTTAAATATGTCTTAAACACATTAAAATATTTTGGCTGCTGATTTCTATAGCTTTCTACCCTTTTCACTTTGAATTTGGTACAAACACAAAGGAAGCATAAACATATGGCGATGCAAAGAGCCCTGCAGCTCAGGCAGGCTGTGGTCTGCTGATGTATCAGGTCAGGATTTGGTGTACGTGTCATAAAGGTCAGGATTTCCAAACTCATTAGCAGATATCAGTACGAGCATAAATTATTGTGTAAATCTGTACACAGGCATCACTGTATCTTCCCTGATTGTGATATAAGTTAAAGTGAACCCATTATCTGCTCTGTAGAGAAATGTTTCTCAATCCAGTCCTTGGGGACTCTCAGCTAGCCCACGTTTTTGCTCCCTCCCAGGAGCCGAGAGGGTGCAAAAACATGGACTGCCGGGAAATTCCCAAGGACCGGATTGAGAAACACTGTTGTTCATTCCTCATTGGTGGTTGGTTAAGTTCCACAAGTACAGGGGGCATTGTTGAACATCCGCAGTTTGAACCGTAGATCATGCGACCAGACAGTTGGTTCTGTTGTGTTTGATCTTACGGTGATGCTCTAACTGAAACCTCTCTGCTCCTGCTCTCTGCAGGTGATCCAACAGGCCCTGCACCGGCAGCCCAGCACAGCTGCGCAGTACCTGCAGCAGATGTATGCAGCCCAGCAGCAGCACCTCATGCTGCAGACCGCCGCCCTGCAGCAGCAGCACCTGAGCAGCGCGCAGTTGCAGAGCCTGGCCGCCGTGCAACAGGCAAGTGCCATCGCAGCCAGACGTTACAGAGATCACATGTGCTAATTGCGATTATGGCTTTAACTGTGTGCATACATGTGTGTATAATGTACATGTGTCCCCTCATCTTCCACGCTCACTTATCCAGTACAGGGACGTGAGGGCAGGGGACAGACACCCAGGAAAGGAGGCCAGTCCATCACAGGACACATGCTCACAAACGCACCTTCACACTCTACAGGCAGCCAAGGTCCAACCACACATGACATGACCGTAACCAGAGGTCCCCTTCCATCTGTCAGCAATCCAAAAAACTATTACCAAGGGAGTCCACTAGATATTTATATTTGCTGCTTTGGTCATAATAAGACAAAAGCATATGTTTCAAAAACAGTTTTGAATTGTTTATATATTTTATTCTCTTTTGCCCTGGGAGGTGAAAATAACACAAACGACTGTCAGTCAGAAAATATGTACTAATGATGTGGTTATTTAGAACATAGTGTAAATAACAAATAATATGCAATCTAGGGTGCCTGCTACTTCCTGTCACATGCTTCCTGCAGGCCTGCACTTCAGGTTATACATGCTCCTCTGTGTGTATATGTACTGTTTTCCAAAGAGAGTCGTCTTCATTTGGGTTTCTGACATCTGTCGTTGTCAGCGTCACGTGCCTGAATAGTTTCTCAGATTGATGTGCCTTGGTCTTTACAAAGCTCTCTGTCTTAACTTTGGAGAAAGGATCCTTTGAAACGAGAGAAGGGCTTTAAAATGTATCGATCACATGGTCAGAATATCTCGCCGGCTAGATGGACACGTCTCGTCTTATACCGGAATCACGTGTAAGGTTTGGCCATCCCACTTGGACAGAACACTTGCAAGTATTTTTATGTTCTCAGCGGGACACAGACACATTTGCCTGAGGTGCAAAGAATGATGGGAAATGAAGTATTAACTATTTAAATGAAAGACAAGAAACTAAGTTGGAGTATTGACATAATTCATTCAGATTCCAATATATGATTTTTGCTGTGAATTTCAGTAAAGCTCGTAAAGTATAACACCCTGTAGCCTATCCCAGGAAGAACGGAGCACCAGGTGGGGAGACCCTTAATGGGATGCCAGTCCCCCACAAGGCAATAAACAGAATCATTTAATTAAATATCTGTCTGTGCAAGCAAATAAAATCATTATAAATAGGAAGCACTCAATAAGTACTCTAAGTACTCTTACTGAATTTAAAACTTCTAATTTTAAGTAAATCTTATCCTGAAAAACAGCTTCCTATGTGGTGAGTCTTCCTTTGTATTCTGACATTTCCATTTAGTGTGGAGCAGACCTGCGTGAAACCTGAGTGGGCCCTGCTCACAGGAAGTCCCCAGACCCTGAATCAGTGTCCGCACTCTCTGCGTAGGGCTTCTGCATCTGTCACAGTGATTAATGCCATTCTACCGGGGGCCAACCCAACCTGTCACACTGTGATTAAGAATAGCCCTCAAATTACTGCCACAAAGGCCTCTGCATGGGGCAGAAGGGAGGAAATGTTTATTTTCCAGTGTGGAAATACACTGCGTAGCAGTGAAAATGCCGTGTCGTGGTGCCACATGGAGCGCATTACTCTGCAGACACGTCGCATTCCACGGGGCCCCGCGTTCCTGACCGGCCCTCCAGGCTCCTGGCTCCTTCCTCACTGCCATCTGGGGGAGATGGAGGCCGGTTGCTGGGCACTTTGCTTCCCTGCGGGCAGCTAATCACACATAACGTCAGGAAACACCCGTGGACGGCCATCGATCTCCCTGTGGCTCTGCTGACGCTGATGGACGGCCTAGTGCCCACCCCCCCGGGGCTCGCTTACCTCCCATGTGCGCACGTTGCTCAAAGCCCTTTTGTCTGCTACGTGCCGCTTGCTGGTGGCACTGGGATATCTGAGGCCTGTGCTGGGTGAATGAGCCTTGTGGGTGATCAGGATTCATGCTTTTGTAACTTAAGTCTTTTTATAAATTAAAAAGAACATTAAGAATCACTGAAGACCTTGAGAGTTTTATTACGGTAGAATTACTTTAATTCCTGTCACTGTATTTGCACATACTTTATTATTATAATTATTATTTCTTAAACTACACCATGTGAATGATGTACACCCCCTGTTTTTTTTTAACAAGGAATAATTTTCACCCATCTAAGAATGGTAAGAATGGGTGAAAGAGACTGAATGAATGTCTGAAAAGGGACGATGGCTTTTTCTGTGCACTGACTGTGATTAATGGCCTTTGTGTTGGACTCCAGGCGCTTTTCCCAACTTCCTGTAACTCCTGCTCATTTTCCTGCAGGCCAGCATCGTGGCAGGGAGACAAAGCGTTACTCAGAATGGCTCTGCCCCCCAGCGGGCAGGATCCTCGCAGACCACGGTAAGTCTAATCCATCTTCCATAATCAGTGGTACTGGGCCACACTGACCCTGGAACACAACACTCTTCAGCATATCTGTCTGTCTGTGTCTGTCTCATCCATCCATACATCCATCTATCCCTCCTTCCATCCATCCGCAACTACTTGCTGGCCGCTAAGCTCTTTTCTCTGTTTTCAGATTCATTCACAAAGCCAATATTATCTCCTTCTGTTATCTTCTGTGTTTTTCAAGTCGTATTTTCACTATTGTATTATATTATCATTTTATATACTGCTGTGTTACTGGTTTTATATCAGTCTGTGATGCTGTTTTTAGTCCTTTGGGACTAACTGAAGTTTTTCATATAAAAATAAATTGAACCTGGTTTAAAGTGGTGTCTCACCATGGCAAATAGTGCTACTGGCAAAAGCTGGAAAACAGTTCTGAATAAATTAATTAGAATGTGCTAAATATTCATTTAGTGTCTTAGCTGATGCAATGTTTCACAGTGACTGATAATTTTACTTGAGCAATTCAGATCACGCTCCTTGCTCAAGGGTACTGTAGAAAAAGTGACAGAAACCATACACACCATCTGCTTAAACTGCATTATGGTTAGCTGGCACTTCTAGAGTAAATAATAATGGACACCCACCGACAGACCTTGAGTCAAATTAGAAAGGTCACCTGCCAACAGACCTACTGTACGCTCTCAGAAAAGAGGGTAAAAATGTGTACTATTGCTTGTTACTGGGGCTGTATCCTTGTAATTGTACCTTTTAAGGTACAGAAATTGACTCTGAGGAACATTTCTGTATCATCGATGGTACATTAATGCTGTTTGTACCTTTGGGATGTTCCTCAGAGTCCATTTCTGTACATTAAAAGGTACAATTACCCACAGCTAAGGGTACAGTTGGCAGACCCTTGAGGGTACAGCCCCAGTGACCAGCAAAAGTATAATTTGTAACCTTTTTCTGAGAGTGTAGATTCAGTTAGGTTGCACACTAACTTTTGGTTAAAAAAGATAAATATGTTACTTAACCTGTTGCTTTAAACTAATATTTATCTCTGTTGTTGACTGGTTGCTTCCAGAAGATTGGAGGCAAGGAAATAAGTGGAAAGATCCATGATTGCAGTTACAGTTTATCTCGACCGCTTTGGAGCATTTCTTAAATAATTAACATTAGCAAAACAACAGGTGTGATCCCCAAACCATAATGTCACTTCTGCACAGCAGAACATCATTTCTCATCACTTCACACAAATTTCCAAATGTTTTAGTGCATATATGCAACTGGTTTTGTATATTTGTCATCATTTGCCACAATTTTCAGTTGCTTTAGTCAGGTTGGTCAAAATAGATTATGTAGTTTGCCACTGCAATAATCTTATAACCAAAACTATTAGTTTGCTAAAGAAAAATAATCAGTCAGTAACAGTGAGGAAGTGGGAACCAAGTATCACTCAGCATTGTGGAGCTCAGGAGCAGACTTACTCTGACTTACTGACAATGTATCTAAGCATTTTGACTCTCATGGTTAAAACGAGGCTGATTGTACTTTTCATTGTGGTGGCACTCACTTTTCATTGGAGTTATTTGCTTTTGAGACATGAGTTAATTGTTTTGGGTGAGTACAGGCTTTTGCAGCTAGACCATAGTGTTGTGCTATATGCATGAACTGTTCGGAGAAATGCTCTTATAGTCTTGAGAATGTTAAGTACATGAAATTACCAAAGCGATCGAGAAAATGTGTACTAAGCCCTCATGCGACTCAGCTTGCTTCTTTATAATTATTCCAAGGCATCTACGTAGCAGTTTTGAATGACTGAATACTATCTGCTCTGTGCCATGATGACTCTGCATCCTTAGCTGCTATGCTGCCTCTCGCCCTACATTCATTCATGTAGTTTAATGTCCTTTTGTTCTCTTATTGATGCATTGAGGTGGCAGCCCTATAAAGTCAGATGGCGCTGAGTCCCTTTGTGTTCCCCTCTGTGCGTCCCGCAGATTAATCTGGCCACCTCACCAGCAGCTGCCCAACTGATGAGCAGAGCTCAGGGTGTCAGCCCCGCCCCCACAGGGATCTCCCAGCAGGCCGTGCTCCTGGGCAATGCCCCCAGCCCCGCCCTCACTGCCAGCCAGGCCCAGATGTATCTGCGTGCCCAGATGGTAAGGGAATGTGTGCTTTTTACACACACACACACACACACACACACGCACATCACATGCACACACACACTCCTGATGATGTGTGTCAGAAATTATTAAAATATAAAACGAAGCTCCAGCTCATGTCTGTTCACACTGTACCAAATAATCACTGGACCTGACAATTTCACAACAGAAATGTCTGTTCAAGCTCAAAATGAGCTTCTCTGTAACAATAAAAATACAGATTTGTTAATGACATACAGTCACGCAACCCTGTATGTTAACTGCAGAAAACATTACATTTCAATGACCCTCCAAAAGCGTAAAGCAGATCTGAACGCGGCGTACAGCAGATGAAATCGTTCTCCGCCTTGTTAATGGTTTCTGTTCCTCTGCCACCCCGGGCTGCATCTCCATGTGCTGAACTCGCTTGCTTGCGTCCATGCAAACGCTTCACCCCTGGTGTTACGTACAGTCCGTGAGTTTGAACTACGGCTTCATCTATTGTCTGTATCTGTATTATTTATTATACCAAACATTTTCAAACTTCTCTGTCTGCTGACAAATAACCCATCCAGCCATTAATATCCGGTTGAACATTCTTCAGTGTAACAGATATTGCTTCACTGATTTTTACACCATTCCAACAAGAATTTAAGGACATTATAAAGGTTATTTCTTTTTTTAGATTTACATTTTTAATATGAGCCAGACAATTATGGCTTTACAGTTTTTCTTGATTGCTTTGCAGCATTTCTCAAAGAATATTTAACATTAACAAGACAAGTGTGATCCCCAAACCATAATGTCACATCATTTCTCATTGCGTCACATAAATTTCCAAATGTTTTAGTAAATAGTAAATTATCATACATATATGCTGATGATTTTGTACAATTGTCATCATTTGGCACAATTTTCAGTTGCTTTAGTCAGGTTGGTCAAATTATATTATGTAGTTTTCCACTGTAATAATTGTACAGCCAACACTATATATGTAAGTGATCATCATGTTAGCCACCACATGCAAAACAGTTAAATTTAAAAGTTCTTCAATAAATTGCAGTGATACAGCATTGTATTTTTCGTTCCCACACTACATTATTTTGCCGTTTGTGTTATACAGTGCTGTGTGATTTTGATTGCTACTGTACTGTGTCTTGAGATCTGAAGAAATTACATATGCATGCAAATGGCTTCTTTGCCAGTGAACTTTACATACTGTCATGTATGGCCTTGCAGTGTTGAAGCTGGGGTCTTTGACATAAATAAGTAACAGTTTGCTAAAGAAAAATGATCAGTCAGTGACAATGAGAAAGTGGGAAATGACTGACGTTCAGAATTGTGGAGCTCAGGAGCAGACTTACACTGACAAACTGACAGTGTATCTAAGCATTTTCACTCTCATGGTTAAAACGATGCTTATTGTTTTGGTGGCACTGACTAATTCATTGGTGGAATTATTTGCTTTTCAGACATGAGTTGATTGTTTTGGGTGAGTTACAGGCTTTTACAACCAAACCAGTGTTGTGATGTATGTATGAAGTGTTTTAAGAAATGCTCTTATAGCTTTGAGAATGTTAAATGTGTTTCATGAAATGTGCCAAAGCAATCGAGAAAAACTGTAACATACTATAGTTTTTCTTTCTGGGAGAATATGAGAACCATAAGTTATGAGAAGCTGCTGAAAATAGCTGGCCTAGTGTTATTTTGTTCAGTGTACATATGGCTGCTTGTCATATATATTTATTTTTTCCATTGAATAAGCTGTTTTTTTTCCCACTGCAAAAAATAAAGCCTTGGAGTTAAATTAAGATTCAATGGAGCAGGCTGGGATTGCGGAAATTGGGAATATGAACAGAAAAAGTGCTGAAATGTTTCTGCATTATGAGGTATCAAAATTTTCCCAGGTCAAACGGCCGTCCGTCCAACATGGAAACTTCCCTGTCCCCGGCAGGCTGAGGAAAGCAAGGGCAAACACTGAAAACGGCGCTATTAATTCTGCATTTTATGCTGAAAGACTGGCTTAGACACTGCTGTGCTCTCCCATCAGGAAGCAAACTGTTGCAATACAGTATATAAGAAAAAGAAGTGCGTATGATTCTTGGTTTTAAACCGAAAAATCAATGTGGCGAAGCGGGGTTGTGTATGGGTGTATAAAATCCTGATGTGCGAGACGACAGCATTCTCAGTTAGCCCTGTAAGTGCTGTCAGAGCACAAGACCACAGAGGGAGTCTCGCAAAAGCCGTTTGTGAGGGGAAGTGTGATTGAGAGGGGTGACTGACTTGGTGGGATAGGGCTGTAGACCTTAAGAAAACGTATTAGTATGAAAAACTCCTCTATCCTCTGCGTTATTGTCCCTAGCCAGTTTAAATGAGTAAAATCCAAATGAAAGAGGTAGTCTGGGTTGTGCATTCATGTCTGTATTAAATAACTCCCCAGGCTAACGACCGTCATATCAAATTCACGACATGAAATCAGACCAGCGCTGTCTGAGAGCTGTCTGGAAGTGTATACGCAAATGTGGGTTACAGTCGGAGTCACAATGTAAGAGAACCTCCCCCCCACCTCTCTCTCTCTCTCACACACACACACACACACACTATTTTCTACGATGGTGTAGTTGTTGGCCTGTGGCTGGGGGGCTGGGGGGGTATTATTTAACATTTCATTAAACAAGGTTGTTTGAGCTAGTTGTACAGTAAATGTATTAATAACTTAACGGGAACCCATAGGAAACGACAAAAAAAAAAATCCTTTTACACTTTTCCCCCCACAATGACTACGCCGGGAATCCTGTGTTTCTCCAGTGGGTGAAAATGAGCAGTAATGTCATGAAGCTACATAAATAAATGAAATTAATTAAATTAATCAATCAAAGCCATAGGATGGATATCTGTCATGCCGACTGAGAAACACGGCATGGGATTTAAGAACCAAATAATTAATTTGCACGTGTTCACGCTTTTTATTATTACCTGCCGCAAATAGAAAACGCAGTGCATGAATGATCGTTTCTAAATACGCTTCTGCTGGTAGCAGCCTTGTTTCATAGAGTGGCTGAGATAAGCATATGTCTGGTTGTGCCTTATTGTGTGATTTCCAGGCAAAAGAACCTTGTGCAGGTAGCCAGTAGCCTAGATCGTCCTATTCCTTTGTCCCTCCAGCTCATCTTCACCCCCACCGCCACCGTCACGACTGTGCACCCCGAGGCTTCCTCGCTACCTGCTGGTCAACAGTCTTCCTCTGCTCAGGTACCGCATGCCAACTCTTCACAAAACACGTGGATTGTAGTGCATCTGTGTTGCACTAGAGGGCGACAAAAGTAATAGGACAATAAAGGCACTAGTATAAAAAAATCAATAATCTGAAATAAAAACATATCAATGTGATTTTGCAGGTTTTCCTGCAAAGATGTAATTGTAGCTTGATTACATATCGAAATAATTTGCATTGCAGTACATCAAAAGTGTGAATGTGTTATAAATCGATTCAATAGTAAAATGATTGATGTACCGATACAAAGTATGGTTAACAGCATAGTGGCTAGAAACTTTGGCTTAGAGTTTTCTGCTTTTCTTTTTGTACTCTTGGGAATGGTAAATCACATTTTTTAAGCTGATACAGCCTGTATGTGTTTGTATAAAAATATATATATCAAGAAAGTTATTGTTGTTGTTACAACAGTGTTCCTTTATTGAGGGTTTTGTGTAAGTGTCTTACTGTTGTCTCTCAGGTTCAGAACCTTGCCATTCGCAGCCAGCAGGGGGCATCCTCAGCCTCTCCCTCTCAGGCTCAGCTTCAGGCATTGGGCCTTAAACAGGCCTCCGGGGCCATGCAGAACTCCCTCTCTGTGCAGCCTGCAGCCCAGCTGAAGAATCCCAGCTTGGGGGCTCAGGGTCTGGGAGGAAAAGGCAGCACACACGAGTCCATCACAGAAGGTGGAAAAAAAGCAGAGGGCCCCAGTGAGCTGGCGCTGCGGGGGGTGGCTGTCAGTCGCAACGTGACTGCTGTCAGCAGCCATGCCCTCCTCACCCCAGGTAGGCACTGGGTGTCCTACCGCAGATGGTTGTCAATGCTGCACCAATGGAATTTAACTAGTCATGGTTTATAACCAATCAGAGTGGACCACTGGTCCACATGTTTGCATGCAGGCCTGGCTCAGCCAATCATAAGCTTGGCCCACCCAAGGGCTAAGTATATGACCCTCCGAGCTTCAGCAAATTTCTATGTGACCCGAGCGAGCAAGAGCCGCCCACAGACGTCTGGAACACAAATGAGCTTAACGAGCGTGGGACAGTGCGCCCAATTACCGATCATTAAACAGCACTGCTTGGCCCAACAGTATTCTCTCTTTTTTTTTTTCTTTTTTAACTTGAAAACAATTTATTAGCGTGTAGGTGGTTAAACGTCAGGCATTTTCCCTTCAGTTCTAGAACTCCTGTAGACTACACTACAGTCCTATTCATACAACATTTCAGTGCAGGAGCCGGGCCTGTTTGTAGGTAGGAAAAACTTGTCTTCATATAGAAAGTAACTGTTATCCAGGCCTGGGGCTGGGGGACGCCTGGAGATTATGCCAGGCAGCACAGGGCAAATTCAAGGGGAACATTCTGGATGGGATGCCAGTTCGGCTTAGGACATACAAACGCAACAATGGAGGGGGGAACATGTGGAATTGGCAGGAATGAAAGATCAGCCCTGGAGGTGTCTGGGCCCATATTGCCTGCCTGTATACATGAAAATGTGGAAGGAGCTGGAAGCCAAGCGAAACCGGCTTGGGGATTGTTCTCAAAAGTTTAGGGAGGAACTGAAAGCAGACTTTTGCTTTAGCTTTTATGATGTGTACACATAACCTGATCGTCTGTTAAATATAATATCAGGGTCCTGTATTCCGTCTCTGTGAATTTGCCTGCACTTAACATGCATATACTGAAATAACATGTAATCAAAACCCGAATGAGTGACAAATTCATACGCAAGACTCTGTGCAAAATAGGTCATAAGGAAAATTCTGAAATTAATGAACTTAAATACCTTTTTTAGGTAGCTATTTTTGTTGTATTTCACTTTAAATAAATCAGAATTCACAGAGGTGCATCATGCAGTTATATTGAGAAAAAGCAGGAATCGATAAGTCTTTCGTAAATTTTTGCTCTACCATTAATCAGCCACAATCAGCTGCAGCCTTGGCTGTGACATTTTTATCGCCTGAAGGCTTTTAACTGCCCCATTATCCCAGAACATCCACTGGCCTTAATTAACAACTATGCTTCTTCTCCTTAGAGGAGAATTCATTACGTCATATCAGGCTGAATGAACGGACCAGTGGGGGTTTAGAGACAGGGAAAGGTCAGGGGGTGAAAGAGAAGAAATGAGCGAATATCTCGTCCACAGGGGATGTTTTGCAAGGTTTGCATACATGGAAGGTAACTGTTGGTCAAACCCCTGATTGCGCACAAGCTCAGCGAAACGACTGCAGCAGTAAAAGCCACATGTGATCGATCTGTAACACAGAACTGTGTTTCCCATATTAGAGCTGCTGATGTAACTGCTTCTGTTCCAGATTAGATGAACTGAGGTCTAAGACCGCAGACGTGGCTTTTGTGCCGTGTGTGTTACGGGAGGGTCGGTGTCTCTGCAGCCTGTGCTGAGAGCCGCATGCATCATACAGCCCTCATTAGCCTCCAGAAGGAGCCACTGTAGGGTCAGAGGAAGCAAGAGCCAACTGGCTGCAGGCTGTTTGTTATACGTTCCCCTAAGCAGCAGCAAGGCGCTGACTGGCCCAGGCCACGTGGGTGGGGGGGGGGCAGGACAGGGGTCACCAGATCTGAAGGCTGCCTAATGAGGCAGCATGGAGGGGAGCCGTCGGGGTTTCCTCCGCAGCCCTGTTTGCCGCAGGGTTGCAGGCTAAGGAAAGCCTTTTTTGGCAAATGACAGGAAGTGCAACCTCTGACCTTTCCACCTTTCACAGAACACCAAAACCAGGGAGTATTTCCATGCTAATTAAATAAAGAAAATTAAAGTAATGATGCCAGTGGTCTTTGGCACAATTTATACAAGGTGTGGGAATAAGTGATATAAAAAATAAAAGTTCAAAATATAAAGTGTTGAGATGGTGCATGTGATATCTTAAAACAGTCCAATTTAAGGAACAACATGACTTTATTAAGAGTGGCATGTATAGAATGACAGACACTAGCAGAAACATAATGTCCACTACAGAGGACATACGGAACTGCTGGATCTCAGGAGGATTTTCTATTTTCATTGTTTTACATCCCTAATAAATAAACCCATAACTGAACACCAATTTAACTCCAGTGATATCATTTCCTTAAATCAATCGCAGTCGTCTTAACGGCAGCAGTAGTTTTACAAAAATCACTGAGTAACATATACAACAGAATCAAAGGAAAAGCTGTACTGGAACATTCCCGGCTTTCTCATGAAGGTCTTGCTTATGGCTGGTTGGTCTGAAACAAGCAAGGCGTTCTGAAAGGGCTCCTCTTGTCTGCAGTACTCCTGACGCTTTTTATGCAGCAGATAAATCTGTCATGCCATTTAGTAGTAGATCAATGAAACGCCCCACATCCTTCCCCGCTTATCCCAAGCATTCAGAGCCTCACAATATCCTGATTCCCACTAACAAGGAAATTTGTATGAGGACGAAACGTGATTCTGCAACAAGGATGGACGTGAAGCGTTAGACGTTTGGCACAGTGCATGCTGGAATCGCTGACGGGGACATTAAATGAACATAGTCATTGTCACGGTATCTGTGTCACCATGGTCGATTTCCAAGCAAGAGACAGAGTTTCAACACAATCTGCCACTTTCTCTGAGCTTCATTAATCACGTACCCATAACCTATTATCACTGTGTTTTCGGCAAGGCCACACAGTTAGGTCGAGAGACCACCAGCCTCGCCTGTACTGTACGCTGAATGCACAGGATACCCCCCCCCCACCCGACTGTCCTTCAAGGCTGGCAGAGTAGAGCAGATTTGTGGTGAATGAATATGGGAGTTGCTCCCTTGGCGTTGGTTCAAGCAAGAGCATGTTTTCAATTACAGCATTTTTGAACATTGTGCCCGAAATACCACAGAGCTGTTGGGAAAGAGTGTTAGACAGGAACGGGTCAAATTTGGCTCTCACAGGGAATCTCTGTGACTTATGACCCATTTCCCACTAGTGGGAAGAACATTGTGCTTCCCATAAAGATACCTCTAATACTACAGACATTTCGCCCCTTCCTTGTTTAACTTTAGCCAGAATGCAGTCCCACTGTTGGCACTGTCTCTTTTACATCAGTGTGTAAACAATGTGTAAACTCACTGTCAAAACATGAAACATTTACTTGAGCCTGGGTGAATATAACATTTTTCACTAAAGAGGTGGTAGGTTTTTCTGCAAATGGTGAAGTTTATCACTGTAAGGAACAGAACAAGCTAAAGACCACCTAGAGTTAAGGGATTGATACACAGAGATCAAATATAATTGGTCTGAGTTAGCAGATGAACCTGAGATCGGTTAGTAGTACAATTAGCTATGTAGCATTTGACCATTTTAGACTCTAGCATTCAGAATACTGAGTGCAGCAGACTGTGGAAAGTCTCTATAGCAAAGCAACGTGGACATTAGCACACAGAAACTGGCCAGTGGTATTTACTCTGCCTTTAAGGTGTCCCTTTGTTTGGGTTATAAGCACCTTCTGTCTGCAGTCTTCCTCAGGACAGACTGTGAAACACCTTCCAGATATATTTTTATAAATTCTAATGTGGCGTTTACCACTGAAATCACGGCGTAGACAATTCTTAATAACAGTGCAAAGATAAAGAGGAAATCAACAAATAGATGTTAAAATAATAAAGCTAACGTGGGTTTTAAAGAATGGTATACTAAAGAGTAAATGGTATACTAAAGAGTAAATGTCATGGTTAATGCATGACAAGGCTTGTAATGAATGAATGAATGATTCGGGTGGCATGTGCAGTTATACAAAATTAATCAACAGCCTTTTGTCCAATCAGATTTGAGAATTCAGCAGCGCCGTGATATAACTGTTTATTAAGGCATTTGTTTTTGTAAATCTGTGTACTATCGTGTACTTATGAATCAATATGGTTAACGTAGAAAGGTTTAACGTAGTTAAAGTACAAAATACAATGTACAACCACCAAATTTCGCACACACATAACTCGTCATAATCCCCCCCCCCATATGACAGACTCAAAACAGTCAGTAAAAAGTTCCCATTTTTGTTATGTATTGATGTCTATGTCAAAAACTATTGTTAATTCATTTCAAAAATCTATTTTGTTATTGAATATTGTTCTGGACCTCTGACTTTGAACAAAAATCTGACCTGTTCCATCGGGTCATTTTTAAGAGCATGCTCCTAATAGGTTGCTTTTAGGAGGTTGTTTTTAGGAGCTTGCTCCTGATTGGTTGCTTTTAGGAGGTTGTTTTCAGGAGCTTGCTCCTGATTGGTTGCTTTTAGGAGGTTGTTTTTAGGAGCTTGCTCCTGATTGGTTGCTTTTAGGAGCTTGTTTTTAGGAGCTTGCTCCTGATTGGTTGCTTTTAGGAGCTTGTTTTTAGGAGCTTGCTCCTGATTGGTTGCTTT